CCCACACACACATTCACACCTACTTGTTTTACCTAGCAAAGCCATTCAGGTATCAAAATGTTCAGCTCTTCAAGGACAGTCATTTCTAAACTTCATACATTTTAAATATTTAGCTTTATTTTGACAATCTTGCCCCATTCAAATGCATGGGAATCCTCTACTTCAGCAAACTTTCAGCTATTTCAGGTATCAAAATGTTCAGCTCTTCAAGAACATTCATGCTTGTCTTCAGGATTTTTGTAAACCTTATGCCTTTGAAATATGTAGCTTTATATTGAAAGTTTACCCTGATTCAAATGAATGGGAAAATTCTACATCATACTTTGTTATTTCAGGTATCAAAATGTTCAGCTCATCAAGGACATTCAAGCTTCTATTCAGAATTTTTCTAAACTTCATAATTTGTAGACTATTTAGTTTTATTCTGAAAAATCTTGCCCCATTCAAATGAATGGGAAAATTCTACTTCAGCATACTTTCAGCTATTTCAGCTATCAAAATGTTCAGCTCTTCAAGGACATTCATACTACTATTCGGAACTTTTCAAAACTTCATACATTTTAAATATTCAGCTTTATTTTGAAAATCTTGCTCCATTCAAATGAATGGGAAAATTCTACTTCGGGATACTTTCAGCTATTAAAATGTTCAGCTCTTCAAGGACGTTCATACTGCTATTCAGAATTTTTGAAAACTTCATACATTTTAAATATTCAGCTTTATTTTGAAAATCTTGCCCCATTCAAATGAATGGGGAAATTCTACTTCAGCATACTTTCAGCTATTAAAATGTTCAGCTCTTCAAGGACATTCATACTACTATATTCAGAAGGTTTCTAAACTTCATACATTTTAAATATTCAGCTTTATTTTGAAAATCATGCCCCATTCAAATGAATGTGAAAGTTTTACTTCAGCATACTTTCAGCTATTTCAGCTATCAAAATGTTCAGCTCTTCAAGGGCATTCATACTAATATTCAGAAGTTTTCTTAACTTAATACATTTTAAATATTTAGCCTTATTTTGAAAATCTTGCCCCATTCAAATGAATGGGAAACTTCTACTTCAGCACACTTTCAGCTATCAAAATGTTCAGCTCTTCAAGGGCATTCATACTACTATTCAGAACTTTTCAAAACTTCATATATTTTAAAAATTCAGCTTTATTTTGAAAATCTTGCCCCATTCAAATGAATGGGAAAATTTTTACTTCTTCATACTTTCAGCTATTTCAGCTATTAAAATGTTCAGTTCTTCAAGGACATTCATGCTACTATTCAGAACTTTTCAAAACTTCATATATTTTAAAAATTCAGCTTTATTTTGAAAATCTTGCCCCATTCAAATGAATGGGAAAATTCTACTTCAGCAAACTTTCAGCTATTTCAGCTATCAAAATGTTCAGCTCTTTAACTGAAATGACTTTTGGATTTCTGTACATGGTGATCCAAATGTAAATGTTCTTTTGCTAGAATGGCAGACTCCTTCCCTTCTACATATTTCAAGCTTCAGTGTGTGCTAACTTGCTCAGTTCCTATCATGTGAAGTACATACCAGCACTGCGAAGTGGCTTTTTATCCGTCTTGGGCTTCAGGACTGTTGTTGATGAGCTGGCCTCTTCTGATTTCTGCAGTTAATCAGATACTACAGTGAAGGACTGGAGCCATAATCACACTGAAGTGCGTTAATGTTATTTGCCTTGGTTAACAGCCTTTACAACTGTGGATCAATAACTATTTCATAAAATCAAGTAGTTATCTTACTGCAGAGAGAGGGATGTTAGTGACAACAGTTGTGTGATCAACTATACAGTGCCTTGCAAAAAGTATTCATACCCCTTGAATTTTTCCACATTATGTCATATTATAACCACAAACTTAAATGTATTTTATTGGGATTTTATGTGATAAATCAACACAAAGTATCACATAATTGTGAAGTGGAAGGAAAATGATACATATTGTTACAAATAAAAATCTAAAAAGTGTGGTGTGCATATGTATTCAGCCCCCTTTACTCTCATATCCCTAAATAAAATCCAGTGCAACCAACTGCCTTCAGAAGTCATCTAATTAGTAAATAGAGTCCACCTGTGTGTAATTCAATCTCACTATAAATACAGCTGTTCTGTGATGACCTCAGAAGTTTGTTAGAGAACATTAGTGAACAAACAGCAACATAAAGACTAAGGAACACACCAGACAGATCAAGGATAAAGTTGTGGAGAAGTTTAAAGCAGGATTAGGTTATAAAAACATATCCCAAGCTTTGAACATCTCACGGAGCACTGTTCAATCCATCATCCGAAAATGGAAAGCGTATGGCACAACTGCAAACCTACCAAGACATGGCCATCCACCTAAACTGATGGGCCGCACAAGGAGAGCATTAATCAGAGAAGTAACCAAGAGGCCCATGGTAACTCTGGAGGAGCTGCAGAGATCCACAGCTCACATGGGACAGTCTGTCCACAGGACAACTATTAGTCGTATACTCCACAAATCTGGCTTTTATTGTAGAGTGGCAAGAAGAAAGCATTGTTGAAAGAAAGCAGTAAGAAGTCCCGTTTGCAGTTTGTTACAAGCCATATAGGGGACACAGCACACGTGGAAGAAGGTGCTCTGGTTAGATGAGACCAAAATTGAACTTTTTGGTCTACATGCAAAACACTATGTGTGGCGGAAACCTAACACTGCACATCAACCTGAACACACCATTCCCAGCGTGAAACATGGTGGTGGCAGCATCATGCTGTGGGGATGCTTTTCTTCAGCAGGGACAGGGAAGCTGGTCAGAGTTGATGGAAAGATGGATGGAGCTAAATACAGGGCAATCCTGGAAGCCACAAAAGACTTGGGACTGGGACGAAGGTTCACCTTCCAGCAGGACAACAACCCTAAACATACAGCCAGAGCTACAATGGAATAGTTTAGATCCAAGCATATTCATGTGTTAGAATGGCCCAGTCAAAGTCCAGACCTAAATCTTATTGAGAATCTGTGGCAAGACTTGAAAATTGCTGTTCACAGATGCTCTCCATCCAATTTGACTGAACTGGAGATATTTTGCAAAGAACAATGGGCAAAAATTGCAGTCTCTAGATGTGCAAAGCTGGTAGAGACATACCCCAAAAGACCTGCAGCTGTACTTACAGCGAAAGGTGCTTCAACAAAGTATTGACTCAGGGGGCTGAATACATATGCACGCCACACTTTTCAGATTTTTATTTGTAAAAAGCCTTGAACACGATGTATCATTTTCCCTCCACTTCACAATTATGCGATACTTTGTGTTGGTCTATCACATAAAATCCCAATAAAATACATTTAAGTTTGTGGTTGTAATATGACAAAATGTGGAAAAATTCAAGGGGTATGAATACTTTTGCAAGGCACTGTACAAGAACACATTCAAGCAGAGCAGATGCTGCTGGATTCTATACTAATCGAAAACGTACACTGACCATAAACTACATCTCACACAATGTACGTCAATTTCGGGACCTGCAAAGTACTGGCATCCTGCCACTAGATGGCAGTGTTTAGCCTTCTGCATTTAACCAGCAACTTCCTGACAAGTGGAAATGGCCCCATGGCCCTTGGCCCCCCCGACAACAATTAATCCCAAAATGTCCAAGAAGAGAAAGGTTGATGCAGAAGGAAGGCAATTTAACAAAAGGTGGGAAAGCGAATATATGTTTCTACTTCAAGGAGAAATCCTGTATATCTTTTGTGTCATGAGGTGGTGTCGGTGGTGTACTACAACATGCTAAATTTAGCCTTCAAGAAAAACAACAATTTGTCAAAGAATTAAAAGACAGACTGCAGCTGCAGCAGGAAATGTGCAAAAACGTTATGCTGGCTTGATGTTATTGTTGAGGAAAAATATGCTGAACTGAATTTTTCAAGGGCAGCATGGTGGCGCAGTGGTTAGCACCGTTGCCTCACAGCAAGAAGGTTCTGGGTTCGGGCCCGGGACCTTGCTGTGTGGAGTTTGCATGTTCTCCCCGTGCGTAAGGAGACGACAGCCCTCTCCCCTGAGCCACCGTCTGCATCGAGGCTTCTGTCTGTCGAGCATGGCCGCATAGTTAGTGCAGCAGCTTCCCCCAATTCAGCTAGAGTTCTCACACTGCTGTGTGTTTCTCTCTGCTGGCGTCTGTACTAACAGAACTGAGCTACGCTAAAGCTCATTTTATCCAATGTTATGCAGGTGTGGCAGAGGTCTGCTGCAGCCAGTGCTCATGTTAGCCACAGGTAGGCTATAGCTAATGTTAGCTGGAACCAACATCAGCAGCACACAGCCGTTCATCAGAGACCGTCTATTTAATAAACAAAAAAATAGCAAAATGCAGCACCTGCAGTAAGGATATTTTGTGCAAAAAGAAAGCCCCTCTAACACGAAGTTTTTACTTCAACACCACATGAATCTGAACAAATTCGCTGTGCTTGATGTGCTGTGGTCTCCTGGCGAGTACCACCCCAGGTACAGCTAATGTCAACATTAGCGTCTCATGCTCAGCTGCAAGGCACAGATGAGCTCTCCTTTTATATTTACAGTAAACAAATGTCTACAATTTCTGTAATACATCAGTGTTGTTTGAAATCTTAATTTAATTTTAAAACATCCACAACAGCAATTAAATTAAAACAGCTATGGTAAACAACAGATAAAAAGTTAGGTGATTAATACTGAAACTCACATGAGAACTTTTGGCGGTTCCTTTGCAGCTCTTTCACTCTGCCACATTTCTATTTTCTGTCTCCTCTTCTCTTCTTCTTGCTGTTAACATAATAGATCACACATTCAGTTCAGCTCTGACATCATGGGGAGACGATCATTCTTCTTTAAATCATTTCTATTAAACTACTGCACCTGTCTCTGTTTTTCTCTGAAGATGGCTGCTTTGGCATCAAGTTCCTCTTGCATCTTTCTTCGAGCTGCCTCCATGGCTTCTTGTCTTCTTGCCACTAAAGCAGCATCTTAATAATAACAACAGTTCAATGATGACATTTAAGCTTCACTAAAGAATAGTGAATCGGAATTTACACTTATCTAATACCCAAAAAATAATTATTTCAAAGGTATACAAAATGTGAAAACCTTACTGTGGGAATCTGTGATGGACATTTTTGCTATTTTGTTACATTTCATAGACTAAATAATTAAACAGTTTCAGTTTTTCCTCGGTTTTCCCACAGTTACTAGTCATGGAGCAGGCAGAGTGGGACAACGGACTGACCAAAGAAATGAGATTACATTTGGGTCACAGTAATGAACCTGTTGAACTGTTTTCCCAGAGTGACAGCCTTCTCATGTACAAATGAGGTATTGTTTTGCACATAAACTGGGGATTGCTTTTGAATACTTCACTGTATTGAGAACTGCAACAGTGTTTCAGAAAAATGTTGAAAAAACCTGTAATTAAAAATAATAATAGATTATTTAATGAGAAAGTTGTCTTTATTTATGTCATCAGAATTAGCTCAAATGTCCACAAACAAAGACACTGATCTGACAGCCATGTGCTAAATATCTCTCTCCACAACTGAGTGAAGCACAAGTGTCTGTGCACAAGAAATAAAATACAGGTTAGAGGCAAGAATGGCACCTCTGCACGCAGAGCTAAAGTCAGGAGCCCAAGTATTTAGACAAGGACAATTTTTGTAATTTTGCCTCTGCACAGCACCACAGTGGATCTGCAATGAAGTGGTCAACAACGTTTTAGAAGTGTAGACTATCAGCTTTAATTCAAGGGGTTTCACAAACATTACATTAACTGCTTAGGAATTACAGCCATTTTTATAAATATTCCCCCATTTTCAGAGACTCGAAAATATCTGGACAAATTAACGATAACAGAGATTTAAGATTTTTAATACTTGGATGCAAATCTTTTGTAGTCAATGACTGCCTGAAGTCTGGAATCATCAGATGCCAAGTTCCCTCCTTTGAGCTGCTTTGCCAGGCCTTCAGGTGCTGCCTGTTTGTGAGTCTTTCTGCCTTCAGTTTTGTCTTTAGTAAGTGAAAAACATGTTCTTCATGTGCTTGAGGACAGGTGACTGACTAGGCCACTGAAGAATATTTCATTTCTTTGCCTTGAGAAGCTCTTGGGTTGCTATTGCTACACGTTTTGGGTCATTACCCATCTGTACTGTACTATCAGTTACGCAGCACTTGGCTGAATGGGAAGGAGAGTCCCCATTCCCTTATTTTAACATTCCTTGGCCCTCAATCCTTGCTCGACCCAGAAGGAGCAAGGAATGAGGACAGGGGACGATGCCCGGAAGAGCTATAATTTAGCTTTAATTTGAATTGAAACCAAGGATACATGAGCAAATCCTTCGCAGAAGACTGGAAATCAGTTTGCCATTGGACACATGAAGGATCAAAGGAAAGGCGTCTATAGTTTTGGCCTTCCCAGCTGCATACATGAGGGTTAAAATATCAGAAACCCCTCTAAATACAATGTAGTCCAGTACAACACCACTTTTAACTGTGACCTCAGTCGCATTTTATACATTTGAGCTCATTGTTGTATTTTATACAACAATGAGCTCAATAATAAACATAATTTAATGACATTTCACCAATTTAATGAAATTTATTACGTCACCAAAAACTGAAACAATGTTAAGGTGGAAGTGTTGCACTGACGTGTACACAGTTGTACAGGTGTACCTAATAAAGAGGCTTCTGAGTGTATACGGAATGTTAGCATTATTGTATTACAGGGGAACTTTAAGACAAACAATATTGGAAAAAGTAACACTGAAGTGTTGTTTAATGCACTGTACTTTATAGTAGTTAAAAAAGCTAAAAGAAAATTGTCTATTTGTTACCAAAGCATTTATTAGTGATACAGTTAGGAGAAAATGTGCTGTGTTGCATAGGATTTAAGTGGTGTGCCTATATTTCACCTAAAGTTCCTAAAGGAGAGCCACCATGACTCGCTGTGAAAGAGCAGCTGAAGGACCAACTCCCATCTCCTCACAAAGTGCAGAGAACAGTCGCGCTTTAAGGGGTCAGGTTTTAGAGAAATTGGCCACTGTCACAACCTCTGTCAAAACCTCATTTAATTCAGTGCTGAGCTGCCTTGACACTAGCGCTTCCCTGTGAGTGACACAGTGTGTCCACTGCTCATTTGGCGTGACCCTCTTGATTAGTGCCTGCAGCTCTTTCCTTTTCCCTACTGCGGTCTGTGCGCCATCTGAGCAAAAGCCCACACAGTTCTCCCATTACAACTTCTGCTCTGTGAGGTAACTGTCAAGAATCTTGAAGCACTCATCAGCTGTGGCTCTAGTTTGGACGTACTTGCAAAACAGCAAACTCAGTCACTCAGAATTCACAAAGAGGACATATGAAATAAACAAATGGTCATTACTGCTGTCAGTAGCCTTGTGCACTTGTAATGCAAAACGTGTGTCTTTGAGTTTTTCTACAAGTTGATCTTCAAGAACACCTGAAATGCCACGTATACGTCTTGCAGCTGTGTCGTTTGACAGGGGGACAGCTTTCAGTTTTGCAGCACCTGTCTCATCAAGCATAACTGACACCATCTCTACAGCAGCAGGGAGAATGAGCTGCTCAGCAACCGTGTGTGGTTTTTTGCACTGGGCAATTCTGTATGCAACTTTGAATGAGGCCATTTATGCTTTGCTCTTCACTGATGCTGATTTTACCATGCGATTTTACTGCTGATGAGATTCTGCCAGTTTTCTCTGAAAGACATTGAGCATCTTATTGACATGACTAGGGTGTGTTGTCTGTCTTCTTAATTTGTTGTCTCATGCTGTCTGCTGCCAGCAGTTTATGACACAAAACAGACATGGTTTGTCTCCTCTGGCCCCACCATCCCCACTGTGAATCCAAGAGCAAGATAGGCCTCATCCTAGTTTCCTTCCGGCTGGCTTTTTGGCTGATTAGGCCCTTGTTTTTTTTTTGTGGTCCATTTCACAAACATATGCAGTGCCATTGTTATGCCCACTACGTACACTACTGTCTCTCTGTGTGAAGGTTTGTTTATACTGTTCTGCTGCAGTTAACAACCCAACCTTAGACTGTTATTTTCATACTATGGTTCTGCTTTTTCCTCCTGATCCCCTAACTGATGCTGTTTGAACTTGCATGCATTAATGACCCCATTGTTTGTGTGTGGTTGTTTTGTTTTGAGCATATAATCTTTATTATTTATATGATGCCCAAGTGCATCTTTTTACAAAACCTGATGGATCCTTACAGGAGACCAAATGGACATTTCTATGTACAGGAAGCATTTAAAAATACTACCAGTTCTCTAATGATTAAAACCTTACTGAAAATCTGCAAGACAGACCTGAAAAACATCCAAGCCTATCTTTAATCATCTGACCTCAGACTTGTTAACTTTGTATCAAATGTATCAACAAGTAGTAGTAAATAATGGTGCTAACCTTGTGGGGGTGAGATGTGGTAGTTCTGACTGGATCTCCTCTTTCCCAGGTGGTGGATGAGCAGGTAGAGCAGCACAGTCAAAACCAGGAGGTACCACCCATACTGGGACAGAAGTTCCCCTGCTGTAAGAGACAGGACAAAACATATGTTTCTTGTTATAAAACAACGGTTGGTTATGAAGATACTGTGTGTGTGTGTGTGTGTATGTATACACACACACACACACACACACACACACACACACACACACACGCGCACACACACACACACACACACACACACACACACACACAAACAACCCACAAAGATTTGTAAGGATTTATGAATAAAAATCTTTTCAAAGTGCAGGATTCTGCTTTGGATGACGTCTTTATGAGTTGAGTGATACATAAAATCAACACAGAAAATGTATGATGTGGTATTTGTGTGTAACAGTATATTTTGTTAAGATAGCCATGTCACAATTATTCACCCCTATATAATATTGTTTTTTTTTTTAGCTTTCTGACAGTTTTTATGGCCTAAAGTGGAGCTGAAACATCATTAAGCCTTTGAGAACTCTATAACGATCCTTCATTTGCTTTAGCTGTGATGCATTTATAAACCCCGACCATGAAGGTTTTCAAGGTGAGTTGCAATCATGGGAAAGACAAAAGAGCTTCCACAAAAGCTGATAGAAGAGATTATTTCATCACATCTGAAGGGCCTTGGGTATAAGAAGATTTCCAAAAGATTTAACATCCCAAGAGACACCACTGGGAGCATTATAAGGAAGTTTAAAATTTATGGAACAGCTGCAAACCTGCCTGGCCATGGAAGAAAGCCCACAATTTCATCAAGGGCCCCCTTAGCAACTTAGTCAGGACAGCTAAGAAAAACCCCAGTGTGACTGCAAGACAGCTACAGGATGACATGATGAAGGCTGGTACAAGTGCTTCAGTGGCAACTATAAGACGTGCACTGAATAAACAAGGACTTCATGGCCGGACCCCAAGACGCACTCCACTCTTGACCACAAGGAACATCAACAGTCGACAAGAATATGCCAGGAGAAATTTGGATAAGACTACAGAGTTCTGGGAGACAGTTCTATGGACTGATGAAACCAAACTGGAACTTTTTTGGACATATGGACCATCGGTATGTCTGGCATGCAAAAGGCCAGGCTTATGACCCACGGAGGTGGGTCATTGATGATGTGGGGCTGTTTTTCTGCAGCAGGAACTGGCCATCTTGATTGTGTACCTGGCATCATGGATTCCCAGAAACACCAGGTAATTTTAAAGAAGAACGTGATGCCTTCTGTTGACAAATTAAACCTCGGTGATCATTGGATCTTCCAGAACAACAATGATCCCAAGCACACCTCCAAGTCAACCAAAGCTTGGTTGGGGAAAAGATGCTGGAGCATCCTGGAGTGGCCTTCTCAGTCACCAGATTTAAATCAAATTGAAAATCTTTGGTGGGATTTGAAGAAGACAGTTGCGGCGCAGAAGCCGTCAAACATCACTGAGCTAGAGGCTTTTGCACGTGAAGAATGGGCAAAGATTCCAATCAAGAGGTGTAAGAAGCTTGTCAGCACTTATCGAAAACGTTTGTTAGAAGTTATGAAAACTAAAGGATGCTCCACAAGGTACTGAAGCTGTGGGTTGAATGATTATATATATATATAT